ATGTGTTTACAGGTGTGTTTACAGGGGTTTACAAATGTATTTACAGGTGTGTTTACAGGTATTTACAAATGTATTTCCAAGTGTGTTTACAGGTTTGTTTACAGGTGTGTTTACAGCTGTTTACATGCATGTTTCTAGCTGTTTACTGGTGTGCTTAGCTGTTTACAGGTGTTTACAAGTGTGTTCACAGATGCGTTCACATGTGTGTAGACCTTCGCTGTCCGGCCTCCTGTTCCTCCTCAAGTAGACAGGTGAGCTGTCGGAGGAGGGGCAGGATTTAGATGGTGAGCTGCTAGGTGTCACTAGTGCCTCCTGAGAAGTGGCATTGGTCAGCTGATGATACCGCCCCCGTGATGGAGTAGCCAGTGAAGTGCCTCCATCCTCTGGCGAGCGTCGTACCTGAGAAAGCAAGGTCAGGTAAGACAATGTTTTAAATTTCATCTTTACAAACTATTTAAAACTTAGTTCTGGCCTCTGATTGGTCTCACCAGTGATGTGTCAAAAGAGAAGGCGGGGCTTCGAGATGACACCAGCAAATCAGGGGTGGGGGAGGAGCCTCTCATGGGCAGGTGTAAAGGTGAGCGGGCGGACTGTATTGGACTGTCCTGATATCAAACACAGTATGAGCAGATCAGTTATAACAGATAAAACCTGTCAGCCTTTCAGAATGTTACCTTCCTGTCGAAGCTTTCATCGCCCTCCGTGGAGCTCACGCTGTCACGGTAACGGGACCGTGAGGGGCGGTGCCTCCGTGACTTGACAGACAGCTGAGCTCGACCTTTCTGGATGCTGTTGTCCAGCAGCTCTGTCTCTGGGATGGCCTCGTTCAGGTCTGAAACACAGACGGAACCACGTTTGATTCTGTTTGTGTTCTGGTTCTGCTAGGTGTGCTCAGGTGTTTCCTTCAGGAGTAGAAGAAGGTTGGAGGCATGTGATGAAGAGGAGGAGGTGGTGAGTTAGCAAACCTTCATCATCCTGGTTCCTGTTACTGTGACTGATGGTGAATAATTGGTGTGACGCTAGAAAGAATGAACGACCAGAAAGTTCATGGAACTGAATTATTCTTAGAAGTTCTGGAGGGAACAAAGATTATGAAGATTCTAATGGTTCTGAAGGTTCTAACATACTACAGGAAAACTCTGAGGAGAAGGAACTGTAGGATGGATGATGAATTAACGAGCTCCTCTTCCACCCACTTTGCCCATCAAAGCTGCATGAAATATTAAGCATGGTGACCGACACACACACAAACACACACACACACACACACACACACACAGCTCTGATAATTGTTGCTTGTTTTCATATTTTATAATTTATTTATAACAGCTTGCCAGTCAGACAAATATTGTACTTTGTAGTTAATTATTATTAAAGTGTATTTTTTTTTTTAAATTGCAACATTTAAGAAAACGTGTCTTTCCAGACTTAGCCCACAGGAAGTGAGCCCCTCAGTGTTTGAGACTCTTATTTTGAAGGATTTCAACAAGGTGTCTGAGGAAGAAACTCAACCCTAAAATAAATAAAAAAACACTTTGTTTCTCTCATCTTTGCTTCCGGGTGTCTCAGCTGTAAACTCTGTCTCATTTCTGTGTTCTGCTGTGTGTCCCCCTGTGGACAACTGCTTCTCCTCCCGTCTCACAGTTGATGGAGTTGTATTTCCCAGAGGGGGACAGTGTGGGGGGAGTAAAAACTAAAAGGAGGAAGGAGGAGGAGAAGAAATGAGGGCACTTCACCTGGAGTACAGAGAGTCATTACAGACAGCAGAGGATGAGAGGAGGACACTTCACCTGGAGGTAGATCTGAATCAGCTGATGGAAACTGATTTATTTTGAAACAAACAGGAAACAGATGTTAAAGACCAGTGGTTTGTTGTGTGTGGTATGTGTGTGTGTGTCTTTGTTTATGTTACTTTGTAAGGCCCATTTTTCCAAATTATACTACATTGTGAGGACCAACTGCTCCTTATGGGGTCCACAGCCCGGGCCTCATAAGAAGAAGTGTCGTTGGTGGGTTAGGGGTTAGGTTTAGGGTAAAGGTCAGGGTTAGGCTATAGAAATTAATGAAAAATGATAGGAATGAATGGAAGTCAATGCAAAGTCCCCATAAGGATAGCGAAACAAACCTCCGTGTGTGTGTGTACAGGTGTTTCCAGGTGCCAGACTCACCGAACACGCTGTCCGTGTCATCCAGTCCTGCAGACATGACTCAGAGTTTCTCTGTTCAGAGACAGAACACAGAACCACAATGAAACAACAAACAGAACCCAAACAGAACCACTTCAGACTGCATAAGTTTCATCACTCAGCACCCTGTGGGGTCATATTGCTGTACGTCTGGTGTTAAGTAAAGAATTTGCAGGAAGTTTGGGTTTTCTTGGTCCCTGAGGTTCTGGAGGTCCTCGCTGACAAGGTGCTTGAGAATCAGCCAAGCGGGGTTCAGCCTGTTCAGAACCTGGTCACCGCTGGTTCCATCTATTCTTAGAAGTCTCTTTATGTGACGTGAAAACATTTCCTTGGTATCCTGATGCATGCTCAATAATCCAGGTAGAAAAATCTAAAAAAGTTAAATCTGGTCCTCTGGACATTCAAAAAAACAAAACAAAGCAAATCAACAAAAAA